AAAGCCATTTTGAACTTGCGAGCCAATTTGCAGACTGCTGTAGTAGCGCTAATCAAAAACGTTTTCCCAGTGCTCATTTAGGGAGTCATTGTCTTGAGGAGTGCAAGGTCAGAGGGAAAACAAAGGGCCAACCAGGCAGACACAGGTCTGATAAGGATGAGATATGAGACACACCAAGCGCCATACAATACTCACGCTTTGTTCGTTATGTTCACATTGTTAGAAGACCACACATTGCATTGCAACTGCTCCTCCTCGACGCCAGTTTAGGGCCAATAGAAATATTTTCTTTTATATCTAACAAGAAATACCAAAATGTAACGTTCTTCCCGATGTTAGTCAGTTGTTCTTCCAGCCTGCGGTCTGACAGAACTCCTCCTGCCTTTGCAAACGCTGCGCTTATACTTGTCAGACCTGTGATCTGACAAATAAATCTGACAAATAAACCCTCTGACAAATAAATCTACCAGAACAAGAGAAGTTGTTTGGCTGAATCCTTCCAGATGTTTCCAATGCTGTTTGAAAGGGCGGCAGCGAGAGAGAAATGGCCTAAAGCAGAACGGGGGAACAACCTTATGCCTTGATTGACCGGCGAAGCTCAGAAAGTCTGTCAGGATCTTTTAGCTGGAGATGCCAGGAGCTACGATAAGCCATCATACCTCAATATGGACCTTGGCCTCCTCGCATCGGCACAGCGAGTGCATGACTGGCGATACGACCCTGCTCTCCCTGTCCAGGCACAGGTGATGGGGCCAGTCTGTCGCACCAGGAGCTGGCTGGATGAAGCAGATGGGCCACCCATAGTGGACAGAGCGGTGATTGACCGGATCGGGATGAGGGTCTACCGATAACAAGGGCCTCTACTGCCAACACCTAACTACCTGTTGGGCCCATTAAGGAGCCCCAGCCCCTGAGTTTCTGGGGAAGATTGCTGGGAGAGCAACAGACCCTGAACGGGCAGCTGAGGTGGAGCTCCTGGAAGACATACAATCCGACGAGGTGTTCACTCAATTTACGGAAGTTGAAATGGCAGAAGGTCTCAGGGCAGAACAATTCGGCTCGGCCCAGCTGCGGGATCACAACCTGACCCAAGCCTGGAGAGACGTTCAAGTGATGGTGGGTCAAAAGCAGGATGGGGGTGAGTCAAGTGTTTCCACATTTTATGATCAAGGATACGCTGTTATACTGTGTAACTAAAAACTCTGCTAACAGTTTATTATCCTCAAAGACTGTTTCCAAACCTAGCCCACTCCCACTTACTAGAGGCATATTTAGGGAGGGAGAAGAGGTATGAACGTGTTCTCAGCCGTTTCTACTGGACGGGAGTCAGGAGGGTCGTGGAGGAGTACTGCCGACATTGTGCCAAGTGTCAAATCAACACCCCAAAGGTAGAATACCCAAGTTTTCTGATACCTTCCCATTATTGAAAAACCCTTTAGCAGGATTGGCATAAACATAGTGGCCCTTACCGAAGTCTAGCCGTGGTCACCGCGATCTGGTTATACTGAATTCCACAACACCGGAGGCCATTCCTCTACGGTATGCTACTGGGAAGATGGTCGCCACTGAGATGTTTCTACTCCTCAGGAGAGTGGGCCTGCCGGATGGAATCCTGACAGACCAAGGCCCCCGCCTTATGTCCAAAGGGATGAAATGTCTGTGCCAAAGTCTAAAGGTGAGACAAATCAGAACCTCTATCACCCTCAGACAGATGGGTTCAACAAAACCCTAAAACACATGCTGAGCAAGGTAATCAATGTTGATGGTAAGAACTGGGACCAACTGCTGCCTTATATTCTGTTCTTTGTGTGAGAAATGGAATCTTTTTTCAAAACAAATTTTGAATTCTTATTTGTATTGTGCCCTAGCACATTCTGAAATAGCAATTTAACTGAATTTTACGCATTAATGCTAATTTCCCTCAGTGCAAAGCAGTTCACATCGGAGTTTTATAATTAGTATGTAAAATCAAATGGGAATTTAGCTCTAAACAAGTATTCATAGTGTTCTATGTAAAAATGGTACATATTCAGTCTTACCATATTTATAGTACACTCACTTGTTCAGCTCAGATTGAGTGTAAATGTTGTAGCAGCCTTCCATAAGTGTGACTTAAATTCTCACAAAGGACTGAGGCTTTAAAATGACTAAACACCTTTAGAGTCAGCGTATTATATCTAATATATAAAGTTGTCTACATATTAGAGTGTGGACCGAAAAATGGACAAATGATTCTCAATCTGTATAAAGCAAATGGCCAAATCTTTCCATTTTAACAGGAGCAGGAATGTTCTGAGCTCGACATTTCTCACTCTTCCAACCTCTCCAAAGGCCTTTTACCTTTAACATCCCGGGACCTTCCCGCCATACTGATGAGTTTCCAGTGCCCTGCGGTCGTACTTTAAAAAAAATAACAAAGCTGTAAAATAAAAATATTTTTCTATTTCCAATCATTCATGGGTACATTTGGAGAGATACAGGTAACAATACATCAAACAAAGTCAGGCCATCTCTTCTAAAGAGCTTTACATTGCTCTTTTGTAGCTAAATTTAAAAATGCCACCTTGTGAAGGATAATACAAGTGCATGCCGGCGAAACTTGTAACTGCGACTGAAATCCAGATATTCCAAAAATGACTCCTAATACAGTAGCAAAATATTACATATCAGGAAAGGCTAAAATGAGAAGAGTATTCATAAGACATTATTACAGAAACAGGGTAATCAAACTGCACAACTTGATAGACTAGTAATCAGACCCCGCTTAAAAGAGCGTCCTTGAGAAGCAAAAGATCCAGAATGCATCTGTTTCAGCAAGTGTGTGTGTCATGTAATCTGCAAAGGGGGGGCACGGACAGTGAGTGACAATCAAAAGATCAGTCCCATCAGATTTTATTCGCGGAAAGAGTACACGTATTTGAAATTGAGCCTGCCGCTGACTCCTGGGAAAGAGCAGCGTGGCTCTCGGTAATCCTGCAGCAGTCAGGTGCTGTGGAAGAACCGCCGGCCTGTGAGCGGCCCACGCAGTCGAGCCGAAACAGGGTTTCACACGTACACGACATCTGGTTCACAAGGGACATCGTGTCCATTTACGGAGGAGAAAACGCGTAGAAAAAAGGACTCGTGGGAGCGGCCTAAGATTTGGTATAAAAAGAAGTATCTGTCCCTTGTCTTGAAGTTCCTTCTGGTTTCTCCCCACGCCACGTCCACCAGAGGACCTGTAAGAGCGGCATCGTTGTTAAAACGCTTATTAACAACTACATAGAGCTTGAGAAAAATCATTGCTCAACAACAGAACAGAAGAATAAGACTAAACAGTAGATTTAAAATATAAGCATAAATAGTTAAAATAAGTAAGTGTTACTGGTGCAAAATAGAATAGCAGTAAGTGTAAGGTAAATATAGTTAGATAGAGAAAGTAAATTCCAACATTATTCATTTAAAAAGAAGAAAAAGAAAATAAATAAAAAGGTTCATAAATATTAACAAATACTGACACTAGTGCCTATTAAACAAATATATTGCAGATGATATTGCTGCTGTGGGAAAACACTGACCCCACTGTTTGACATGAATGGTGGACGATTTGGACATGTTAAAAACCCTTTGTATGCGCGGAGCAACCGACCCACCTAGTTGCCGTTGACTTGCGTTGCAGGTGTGTCTCCGCTGTTGTTTGCCGCTCTCTGTTTGCTGCGATTCTCCCGCTCCTCGTCTTCTTCATCCCTCTCCTCGTTGCCACTGTGGTTCTTGCAGTATAGTCTTAAAGGGGAAAAAAAAGTAAATCTCACAATAACAGACAAGCCATTATTAGTTCAATGCAAATGTGATTTGATGTGGTTCAAACTAAGTTAAAAGGTGATGCACATTCCTGCTGCTAGTTTAAGAATATATATATAAACGGACACAACAAACGTAGGTTGATTCAAGTCGGGAAAAAGGACCGCAAGCGAATGAACCTGAATTTGCAATATTTCAAAAATCATTGTCTTTAATTAATCAGCGTTACACTCCAGTTTGGGGAAGACTGTCTACAGTTGTCTTCAGGTGGAGAAGTTAAAAATCATATTTCAAATCTTTTAAATAAAAGCTAATCTATAATCAAGCTCAAAAACAATTTGCTGAACATCCTTTACATTAAGGGCGCACAAGGCACAACTGCAGCCTGACAAACCTATAGCGTGATCTTAAAATCGGTAAATATACAGGGAATCTCCCTATAAAAAGACAATTCATACATATGATTGGGTCAAATTCTGGAAATGTGTTTGAAGCTCGTTGCGCTCACTTGTAGATGCCACGGGCCATGTTTTCAATGTACTTGGCTTTGTCCTGCAGACCACAGTGGTAGTGGTAGGTCTTCACGCACGCCTTGATTTCACACCCGATGGTAGCACCCAACTGAGTGCACAGTGTGCATTTCTGGAAAAACATTTTTTTTTGTCAAAAATCTTATTTTATGCAGAGGGTATTGCAGGAGACTTCTATCATCCCACCATTCTTTTCCCCCTCTTGATTTCCTGGATGACCGTTTTCACATCAAAGTTTCCAAATTCAGCGCGTGACGTCGTGGTCAGCTGCACCGTCCCCGAGGAAAAAAGCTGGGAAGAGATCACAGGTGACAGTTAAAGTGGCAACACTATTGATGTACATACGCCATATTAAATCACCCGACCACCCACGCACGCGTGCAACAAGCTTACCATGCACCTGTAGTGTGCAGCCACTTTTTTGGAGTTGTCGGTGTGGAGCATGCCCCTCGTCTCGTTCTCTTCCTCGCCAGCGTGACAGAAGCCACAGCGCTGGCCGCCGTCTCCCACGTTGGCACGCAAAGGGGAGCGGTCCCGCTGGAAAACACATGGACAACGACAACCATAAGGACCGGGGGCCGACAGAACGCTCCACTCAATCGGACTCCGCCGCCTTACGTGGGAGGAGCTCTCCTCGTCTGCGGCCTGCGAGGAAGTAGAGCGGGTGTCCTCCGATTGGCCACGAGATCCAGCTTTGGCTCGGCCCTTCTCAAACCTCCCTCTTCCCCGGCTTTGCGGGGGCGACGACTCGGACTCACTGGCCACGGCTCCCTCTTCATCTAACGACAAACCGACAGTCGCCCATTAGGAAAAAAAAAACCTGTTTCTGTTCACGAAAGAGCCGAGTAAAGAACTGGCGAGCATTGTTTAGAGATGGATAACGCATCAAGACCTTCGTCACACGACAAAGCACAAAACAGTCGATTGTGTGTGAGCGAATTACTACGAATGTGATATTCAATGGCTGATGAATCCAGTCCCCCATGCATCTTAATAATAATGGAACGGATTCTCATACTTTACCTTGAATGCCGTCAGAGGCATCCCGGTGTTTGCGACAGTAAACACTGTTTTGGGGCAGAAGAAAAATATTTCAATTCCATGGAAATGGAACAAAGAACATTGTTCTGTGCGGCAGCAACGGCAAAGTGACTTACAGGTAAATCCCCTGTGAGGGATTCTCTTTGACCTGGGCTTTGTCCTTCAAAGCGCAGTAATAGTGATACGTCCTCCGGCACGTCTTGACATCACAGCCGATGGTGGCGCCCGGCCGGTGGCACGAGGAACACATCTGAGGGGGATGGAAACAGACCCACATCGTTAAGAAGAATAAAACAGCCGTGCAGACACGTCCACAATCTTTAAACGTTCATTCCAAATAGCGGGAAACCACCAATGTGATTTGTCAAATAATAATGTAAAACGTACGGGTCTGACCAATAATTAAAGTCGGACATTACAGGTAATTTAGCTGACGCTTTTATTGAAAGCGACTTGCATTGCATTTTTAACCCATGGCATTTTACATTTTTGCCCGGGGAGCAATTAGGGGTTAGGTGTCTTCAACCTGGGACACTTCAACCTGGGACATGGAGCTCAAACCGCCAACCTTTCGGTTCCCGGCGCACCCTCTACCAATGCGCCACCGTCAACCACTACATACATCAATGTCTGGGGGAAGCAAAATATATTTTTGTATTGAATAGATTACTATATGAAAAGTATAAGAATATTCTTAATTCAATCTTAACCAAGTCAACTTTACGATAAACAAAAAACAAAAAAATTAATGTCCATAAAAATAAATACAGGTGTCAAATAATTAAAGTCCACATAACGCTTTGAGATACGTGACAAATTAAACATGCCGACAATTAGATTAAAATTCCATTTCAGCTTCAGACTTTCAAGTGCAGCTTGTCATCCTCTCAATATCATAGGAACCATTAGTCTAATAGTCCGTCAGAATGAGGAACGTTCCTGCAAAACATAATTAAAAAAAGTTTAAGAACTGTATTGTTGACCACACCTTGTCTGTAAATGCACATACGTGTTGTGTGTGCATCCAATCATCTATGAAGCAAGCATCCTCATTCGCTCAATAAAGCAGCTGCTGCACATGCTCATATGTTCACAGTGACTCGTCGGGCTATTAACATATTAATTTGAATAGATTTGTGGTTTTCACTTGATGGATTCTAACACTTACCAATTTATTTCCCCTCTTGATCTCCTTTTTCACATCCTCAATGCAAAATCCCCCGATGTTTTCACTGTCTGAGTGAGATGTGACCAGGGCAGAGGAGAAAAGCTGCATGGGACATTTATTAACAGAAAAATGGAAATTGGTTTGTGCAGTCTTTTATTATGAGGATGAGAAGTCCAATATCTGCATTTTCATTTTGCCTATGACCACTGCTGATGCTTCAATATCCACACCGATGTCCCGTGTGTTTAAGCAGCAGCTTAACTGACCTCACCAGTGATGTAACTATCGTCAAATGTAAATGGTAGAACAGTCAGAATAGCCCATGGGACCAAAGACACATTGGGGCCTCTCGAGATCATTTACAGGAGATAAATCCCTTCGCCATGAAATACCGATATTTAATAGGCTTACAAAAGGTGACAATAAATAGCGCACAATCCAAAGCTGTTTAGGGCCGAATTGTTGGCGCGGTGATGATGTTTACAATGTGCGCATGCCTTGGTGTAGACTAGAAGGATCACAGGCTACAAAAGTTGAGAGCAGTGCTCCCCTCACCATGCACTTGTGGTGGGCTGCCACCTTCTGGCTGTCCGACAGCAGCAGCTGCCCGCACTCCTTGTCCCGGTTGGTTCTGCAGAAGGAACATTTAAGGAGCCGCGCTGCCGCTCCTCTCTTCTGTCCCGACATGACTAAAGGCCTTTTTTCCCTCTGGTGGGCCAAGTCTCTGATGGAAAAAAAACAGTGTAAACAACAAGATAGCTTCATATTACACAGGCTGGTAGATCCTTTTAATGGTTATTATCAAAGTAGTTGAAACAATTGTAAAACAGTCATAGAGTAATAATGCCTTGTGTCCTCTATAATTTCAGTATAACAGCTTTCATGTACGTGAATGCACTCGTAATAATCTGAGCTCACACCTGGTTCAAACTAGATGCCATGAAACTTTAAAATGAATAGAATGTAATGGTGATGCCCAGGATCCTTTGCAACATAAATAAGAGTGAATGAAGTAACAAAATGTGACATGATAACAGATCAGAGTGGTTCATTCGGTTATTATGCGTTTTTAACCACGGATTAACATTAGCAAAGCATCCCTCGCAGATTAGTATTAAATGATGAAACCCTAAAGACAGGCAGCCATTACAGCTACTAAACTCCTACTCCAAGTTGGCACAGCTGACCACAGCTTCACGCTTTGTCGACTTCTGGTCCCAGTTGGTTTTGGCCTGAAGTGTGACTACCAAAATCACAAGTGTGTCTGGTAAAACTGCTGACCAATATCAGAATTTTGTGATGTCCTGTTTTTTTTAAAAACGTTTTTTTACCAGTAGTCCTTCAGGGAATAAATCGGACTGAACAGGATATAGAATTATGGAAATCAAAGAAGAAGGGGCTTTTCTAATTACGTTCCAAACACCCACCTTCCCATTTAGTAGTTTTTCTGCAAATGATGCAACATGTTTTATATTTTTTCCATAGTCTGCTCCAATATGCAAGCACGTCCTGTTGCACCACCTGAAACCATCCTATTAGAATTATGAATCGGTTGAAATATGCAATATTTGGCTCTAGTGTCTGATCAGCGGAGACGACAGACAGACACACACAAGCTCCCCCACACACACATTAGCATGAGCCGGGATGGTTTGAATATTAGCAGTGCACCATTTCAGCTACATTTATATTAAACCTGTGTATTGTATTTTAAACAACATTTTATCTCAAATGATGCGAGATCGATTGTTATTCCACCACTGTGTTGCTCAACGTAGGCGAGTAACAGATCAAACATCATTGGCAGAGATGTTGTGCAGGTGTCCACAAAGCGCTTCACGTGTTAAATAAGAGCAGTAAAATAGTGTATTTAAACCCTAATAGCGCATTCGTTTACGGGCTATCTGTGTCTCATATCTCGCCAGCATTGTGCTGCGACGCCTCGATAGATCCATCAGAGCCTCGATAGCAAGGCCGGGATTTCACTGCAGCGGCTGCATCAGCGCAGCCCGCGTGCAGACACACAAACCCGGGCGGGTAAAGGACCGAAAATAGCGGGTTTTTACACCTCGGGTCTTCACAGAAACGAGCCCGTAACACAATCCCGTGTTACACGGCGGCGTCGAGGTCGATGTGCGAGAAGAACAAGGCGAGCGTGGAGGGAAAAAGTGACATAAAATCCCCCCTTGCAAAGTTTTGAATCGAAGGGGGTGTGTGTCTTTCTCTCGTGAAAGGAACTCGACGAAAACTCAAAAACTTAATTTCAAACATCTAAACGCCCCGGAATCTCCCCCAAGGCCTCTTCATGGGGGGAAACAAATGTCGGTGGTTGGAAAACATGACCCTGTGTCGACATTATTTTCCTCCTGGAAACCGAAAAAAACAGCGCATATTGCCCTTTAAATTTGGGAAATCGTGATGACAGGCGCGGGTCGAACCGTTTGGAAGCAAAGAGCGCCATACGCGATGTTCGCGGTGAACACAGCGGCTCGGCTCGTACGCCAGCAACACGGCCTGGACGGTGAAGAGGCCGGACCGCTCGGCGGCCGCCGTCCAGCCGGTAATTCACAGCTCGCATCTTACCTGCCGATGCAAATGTAAAACGCCGAGGCGGTGGAGGAGATGAAAAAGTGTTGTGAGCAGCGGCTGGGATTCTTTCCGTCCTTCAGAAGTATTCGTGAGCTTTTCGCGCTAGCATCAAGCTAGCTGCAGTGCTCCTCGCAGCGGGACTTCCGGGCGGGGCTTTCAAAATAAAGGTCTGGTTGGCGAGGGTACGTTGCAGTGTACCAAGGAAGTCCGAGTGTGAAGGAGACGAAAGTGCTTTACGGAGATATCTCATCAAGACAGCTTTATTGTTGATGGATCCAGCCAGGCTATGTTTTATGCAGATGTAACCGGGATTTTACACAGACTTGAAAAACGAGTTGTTGCAGGTGGTTTCAGGGCTCCTTAGCAGACAAACTGTAATTTCTTAAGTGCTTGCCATGTAATACCTACTGTCGAACCTCTAATTTATTTGCTAATTCGTGGGATATTAATTTAAAAACGTCCATGTATATATTCATTTTAGGTTAACTGTACTTAAATGTGTGTCAGAATACAGAGTGGGTGGTGTGGTCCTTCGTTTTGGCCCCTGAAAGGTTAAACAGCTGACAGACAAAATTAAACATTCCACTACCAAAATGATTGATAAATATGTTTTTATTATATATCAGTTATTATATAAAATAATCATCGGAGGACATACAATAAATTCTTGTGAGACATCCTGAAGCCATTCCCAAAGCAGCTTATTTCACAGGGTTGTGATCAATGGTATCAAAAGCCTGAACAAACATTGCAGCACAATTCTACTTGACATTGGACTATATGGCCAGGTGTTAATCAAAAGCGGAAAGTGAAACCATCACTATTCTCCAGAAATGCTCGTAGTTGTGAGTTGACGTGTATCAAATGTCTAAATATTCTGGACGATGTTGAGAGTCAGAATCAGAAGCCATTTATTGCCACATATGTTACACATAGAGGAATTGGATACTAATTATCCTTATGCCAATAGGTATACATTACACAACAAAATACAGACGTTCCTGCACACATAAGATGAAATGGTCTTTCTCAAAACTTCTAAAAACATTTTTAGGCCTTGTCTTTTCAAGAGAACTTAGGTGCACTTGGTTGCTGTCGCAGCGCCGTCCGGCTGAAGGGCCTTCCCGTGCATTCTTAAACGGGTCCACCCACCAAAAATGTATACGTGCCAAAACATGCGCACCTACAGCGCAGAGGGAGTTTTCACCACCTCGCCTTGGTTAAAGCCATTGGACAACTGTAGTGTCAGTCATTTTGTAAAGCAAAACATACCCGCCCAGTGTCCCCGGGATGAGGGGAGGACGAGAGTTTCAACAGAAGAGAACAGGGAAATGAAGTTGTTAGGCCGGCCAGCAACTCTCTTCCCAACTAGGCAGATAGCAAGTTAGGGGACGGACGGTCACGAGTAGAGAGATTCATATGAAACGCCACAGCGATGAAGGTCGTCCATCTGAGCAACTTTTAGCCGCGATCGAAACACGCTAGACAACCTCCGGCCACAAGATCCCAGATAACCTTACAGACATTTCAAAGTAATAGCGCTACGGCGGAAAAGAAAGTGGACACAACTTGCTAGCGAGCTAGCGAAGCTTTAGCCGCCGAGCCTCCTTCGGCTTCAACAGGAGAGTTCACTCGGTGAGTCTTGACAGTTTTTACTGAATATGTCAGCAGTGTGTACGTGTGTTTTCCACGGTCACTTTACTCGCTGTCCGCCCGCGGACGGACTCGAGCTAGTTTTCGTGTTTCTTGCTACTGCTAATTAGGTCACAAGCTAGCTCAACTTTGCTGATGAACATTGCTGTAACGTTGACTGTGTAACCGTCATTTTTTCCGTTACAACCTTGTTTCGATCGGAAAGTTTGCGTTTTATTAGCCGGGGCTAATGCTAACTTAGCAAACCTCACGACTGAGGTGGAAACATATCGTGGAAGTCTACCTGCATTATCTTTGAAAACTAACCCTACGGTTAGCACGGTTAGCTAATTAGCTGCGTGTGCTGTCATGGTCTTCAGCACTGTAACTCAACAGTTAAACTTTTGACTGTCTATTCTCAGTCTGACGACATAACTAACTTAGCTGTGCTGTGGCTTCCGTCAGGTGAAAGCTTTTCAGCCATTTCCTGATGCAAAGACATACAGGAAGTGGAATAGCTCGCTTTTAGTAGTTTCTTGAACCAGCGTTTTTGTTTCTTCAGATTTTTCGGCTTGGATTTACCGGCCTCCAGTCATGCCTTTTCCTTTTGGGAAGTCTCAGAAGAGCCCAGGTGAAATAGTGCGGAGCTTGAAGGAGAATGTGGCCTACATGGAAAAGATGGATGCTGGGGACAGCAAAAAGTGTGAAAAGGTCAGTTCTCAACTGTCTCGTACTGGCGTGTTGTGTCTTATTCTCATCTCCAACTGATAGTCGCAGTTGATAACTCTTTTTCCACAATTAAGGTCGCAGAGGAGGTGTCCAAAAACCTGGCGTCACTGAAGGAGGTACTTAGTGGAACAGGTGACAAGGAGCCTCAAACCGAAGCTGTGGCTCAGCTCGCACAGGAGCTGTACAACACCAACCTCCTGGTTGCTCTCATTGCAAACCTGCAGAGGATTGATTTTGAGGTGGGGGGGAAAAGGCACCTACTTTCTGCGCTGACGTAATGTGTGAATACTGTATTGATTCCTTCAAATGATCAGGGTCGCTCCCACTACGTGCACGATTTGAACATCGATGTCAAAAGCAAAAAAAGGTCTTTGCATGTCATCTGTAACCAGTCTGCCATTCATCGCTCTGTGCGCTTTTTTTGTTTTTTGTTTTCACAGGGGAAAAAGGATGTGGTGCATTTGTTCAGTAATATTGTGCGACGTCAGATTGGCAGCCGAACACCCACAGTAGAATACATCTCTACACAACAAAAGATCCTCTTCATGTTGCTGAAGGGGTAAGTCAATCTTTTCAGGCTACAGGAACTGAGTGTTTAATACATGTTGAATGTCAGTGCTTCATACTTACATAACATGTAATAAAGGCAAGTCCCACCTTGGATACTTTCGACTTTCAAGGTTTCGTTTAAGGCTCTCTACAAAGTTTAAAAAAAATTTTTTTTTAAGGTAGAAGTCACTTCATAAACATGCCTCGTTATTTTCGTCATTACTTATTATGTGTTTCAACAACTCCCAGAGGAACGAGCGGGAACTTGTTGCTTTTACCTGTGGGTTCCGCCGGTTGATGAAGAGAGCGATAGCAGTGCTGGTTTCACAGCTCTGAAAAACTGAGTCATCCTGCAGAGCAACATGTCTCACGGCTGCATTGCATTGTGGTCGGTTGAAGCTGCTTTCGGTGGATGAAATGCCATCTTTGCCACTCTACTTGTTTTTTCTTTTTTAGCTTTGATCAAAAATGACTGGATGGTTTACTCTATGATCTCTAAAGTAGACCATCCAGTTTTGATAGGCAGAGATGGACATTACTACCTGACATTTAGCGTTGATGTTGAAGATGATTCGTCTGCACGGTTAATTGTCCACATTTGGTCGTTAATAGTCCACATTTGGTCGTTTCACACCATGAAAAAAATATATTGTGTCCTGCTCATCAGTATGGAATTCCTTAAAGAAACAAATTGTTTTCTTTGTTTTATAACTGTCCTATATTTACTCTCTGAGGCCAGTGACTTGACGTGGGCTTGCCATGTCCTTCCCTCTGCAGATATGAGAGCGCAGAAGTGGCTCTGAATTGTGGGATGATGCTGAGAGAGTGCCTGCGTCACGAGCCTTTGGCGAGGACGGTGCTCTTCTCTGAAGACTTCTACTGCTTCTTCGGTTATGTGGAGCTCTCAACCTTTGACATCGCCTCAGATGCTTTTGCCTCGTTCAAGGTTCAGTGGCGGACTTTCTTTCTGGTTTCCAGCACCTTTTTTATTTTAACGATTTGTCTCTAATACCTTTCCTGTTTCCTCTCAGGACCTCCTCACGAGACACAAGATTATGTGTGCAGATTTCCTGGAGAACAACTATGACAGGGTGAGCCTCGTGAGTGGTTGCCTATAATCAACAGAGCACTTCTTTTGTGCGTATTAATATACTTGTGAAATGTCTTTTCAGGTGTTCACAGAATACGAGAAGCTCCTGCATTCTGAGAACTACGTCACCAAGCGACAGTCTTTGAAGGTAGAAGCTCCACTGTTCATCCGAATCACTTTTTCTTTTGGATTCAAGCATTACCGACATGGTTACCCACGGCATTACAACAACGACGTGGTTGTAATAAAATACTGTTTTTCAGCTCCTTGGGGAACTTCTGCTGGATAGACACAACTTCACTGTCATGACTAAATACATCAGTCGGGCTGAGAACTTGAAGCTGATGATGAACCTGCTAAGAGACAACAGTCGAAACATCCAGTTTGAAGCATTCCATGTGTTCAAGGTGTGCTCATAAAACACGTGTCATCAGTGCAACAGTTTCCTGTTTAACGATCCAGTTGTTCTTTGAAAGGCTTCATAAAATAGCCTGCTGATATTCGCTGGTAAAATATTTAAAGCTGGTCTGGGGTTCAACAGAAGTGAAGGTAATTTTTCGGATAAAACTTTGCAAACTGCCAATCAACGCTGTCCCCTTTTTCTAAAAGGTATTTGTTGCAAACCCAAACAAGACTCAGCCCGTGCTCGACATCCTACTGAAGAACCAGACCAAACTCGTGGAGTTCCTCGGCCACTTCCAGACCGACCGATCGGAGGACGAGCAGTTCTGCGACGAGAAGAACTATCTGATCAAGCAGATCCGGGATCTGAAGAGGCCTGCGGCACCGGAGGAAGCTTAAGGCGTCGTGGACGAGCGCTCCCGTCAGGTGGTAGATGTACAGGTGGTGGCTGCAGCTGCAGAGGGTTAAGAGAGAGTCTAAAAGACATGCTTCATTAAAATGTAATATTTACTACAAAATATAGGGAAAACAAGCAAAGATTACTTCCTTCATTTTCTGTTTTTTTTTTTTTTTTCTTTTTTTTTTTTGTATTTGGAGGTGATTTCCATCCAGCAACTTGGGTGTGGGCCAAGAACTGTTATTTAAACCATAGTGCTTCTTCTTTGGTGATAATGAAATGCATTTTAGTCCATTCTTATATTATTGGACCTTAAACTGTTCCCTTTCCACATACATGGTCGTTGACAGAGACTTTAGAATGACAAAAACTGCCCCCACCAACTTTCACAGCCAATGTGTGTTCTTGAAAGTCTTTCTCCCGCATGTCTATATTTAATTTTAGAGATTGAGAAGTAACTGAATAAAAAATTATATAATATAATATATATATATATATATATATATATATTATATATATATATATATATTATATAATATAATTTTCCTAATGTATCTTCATGGTAAACCGTTTAAGACCGTAACTCTTTCTCTCTGAAAAATGTTTAGTGGAACTACTAGCATAGGTTTGATCTATTGCCTTATTGTAAAGCTATTGTTTTGCACAGGGACTTTGGCAGCGAGACATGTGGAACATATTGGCCCGGCTGGTACATGGTAATTTTTGCTGATTAATGTGTAGGCGGTAGGCCTATTGGCTGCATTGTGTGAGGTTTCAGAGGTCACAAATGATGCTGCAGTGCTGTACTCGCAGAGACATTAGCTGGCACAGGAAGGGGAAATCAAAACCATAAAAGAATCAATTATTTGCGCTGTAATTTTTTTTAGGTCGCGCTCAGCCGGGCTTACGTGACTGAAATAGAAGCAAGGCATCAGATAACGCTGCAGGGTACCAGCCATCCGCTCACCGCAATTGATCTTATCATCACACACAGCGCGCAGATAGAAACCGTTCATTTGAAACAATGATTTAGTCAACAATCCATTAACGGAGATTTAAATGACCTGAGATACGCTATTTTGGGGCTTTTCTGCTTTACAACATAAGCACTGCATAATGCTAATTTAAAGTCAGTGCACATGCTCAAGAGACTTCATAATAACTCAGCAGGAAGTGCTTATTTTTTTTTACTGAAAAAGTTCCCACATTTGGTTTTCATTCCACGCAAACTGAACGTCTCAGTTGGGTATGCAGTAGGGAATGGACATTTGGTATGACAAATTAAATCACCTTTACCTCACCAAACACCAAAGAATACAAAAGGTATTTTGGTCTGATTTTTTTTTTTTTACTGACTTATTTTGATAAAATACACAGCAACATGCGTTTTGATGCATCAGCAAGCATATTGTATCCGATCTCATAACACATAAGCACACGCATGTTTTTAAAACAAGAGTTTGTTTTGGCTGCAGAGCACTGAGTTCCTCGCGTGCATCACCGATTAGTTACATTTCTTAAAAATGAATTATTGCCTCACTTCAGCCATTTCCACTGATATGGCATATTAGGGATTCCAAAATGTTTTTTTGAGCGCACAGTCTTCTAGCGTCTATACCTCATGGAATTTGAGTTCGCAAATGCTGTGTTCTCTTGCTCGTTTCTTTCTTGGACAAAATCTATTTTATTTGACTGTTTAAAATACACAGCAGACGTTTGAATGCATGCCGGAATTTGACAAAAGTATATGTTCAAACTTGGGACTGGGACCTGGTTTCCACAATGGAAAACAAGATTTTTGAATTGAAATATTTCATTGGGTGGTGCCACACAAACGTTAATTCATAATGAATTGCAGTGTGCTACCTTGTAATGAATGTTGCCTTATTTAAAAGACATTTAACGGATCATAATGATTGAAGTGATCCACAGCAGATCCACATCTAGTGTAGTGTAGCTCTATGCGTGATGCTCTGGGGTGATCCTGTGAGTGTAATTATATATTTTAAAAGACTATACTATACTCAGAACAGCTTCTGTTTTTCCATTTAAATCCCTATTTTGCACACTGCACCAGATAGTGACGAGGTTATTGTCAGGCCTTGACGGATCAAAAATAATTTGACTGCTGTGAATGTGGTACATTATGCACAAAAAGACTTGAGTCCTGCACACAGTGCACCATCATGTCGCCAGTTAATGAGAGAAAGTTGGTCTGAAAGTGCGTTTGAGTTTCTTTAAAATCCTGTCAGTGATCAACTCCTTTTTGACTATTTAATGTGAAAACCAGTTTTTGAAAACGTCATACTTACCCCATTTACAAAAGAGTAATTAATATATGTATATGTATATATATATATATATATATACACATACGATCACAAAGAAACATACAGGTTGCTAACTGTTGCATAATAGGCTCTTATAGTATTCAAGATAATCTGACTGTTGTGTAAGAGAAAATAAAATTCATTTGAGAGTAAAAATCCTTCATAATATGATTTAAATTGAGCCCAGTCATGACGTGCTGCTCAGTCGTCCCATCAGGGGGAGTTGGTGGCATCATTGGGTCCAATTGTAAACATGTTTATGTTTCTATAACCCTACCCTAATAATGAGTTTATAAGTCACTGGCGATATTATGTAGACGTCAACACAAATTCCTTAAGATCAGTACCATATATTTCATGATTTAGAGTTCTCTGTTGAAATTTGTTTTGCTTTACTTTTTTACTCTGCCTTCCTTTTTCTTTTTTTTCCTACCCTTCTCTTTTGACACTCTGGATATTCTCTTTATTTACCATGGGAGCGTATAACGTGTACATAACTTTATAAAGGATAAAAGTGTGAAAGCATTCATGAAAATAAAAAACTTTACGGCAAATTTATTTTTGTGTGGGGTCAACCGTTTAGTGGCCGCAGGTGCCTCCTCCCCACACAGCTGTTTTCAATGTACTTGATTAGGCCTCTTCTCCTTACTGTGTGGGCGTGTCTAGTGGTCAATCTGTTTGGGCGTCACATTCACATAATTGGTGCTTGAAGTCTCTGAACTCCAAAGTTACGGCTCCGCCCAAGCCAGGTCTAATCAGCCAAGTGAACACACCTGTGTTGGTGTACCAGCCCTTTAATGAATGGATGAGGGATCTTGCTCTGAGAAATACTAAGTTACTGGTTAAGCAATTTGCCCGCTCGCTCATTTCTTCAGAGACAGAACTACTTGCAGCAGGTTCCTCCGGTTTGAGAAGTGAGGTAGGGGATGCCGCCACGGCTCTCTGTGCAGTTTCCCTCCAGACGTAATGATAGGTACCTCTGTAAATACTGACTGCAGTCTCCTGCCTTTTCTCCCTGCGTATTGTAATGGTACTGTGAAAGCAACTCAAACCCCTTCGTATCAATGGCTTAGTGGGGTTTTTCATAAACAATGTATTGTGACGGAATATAATGAGAATCAGTTTATTTTATAAATTGTGAATATTGTCGTGCTTGGAAGGTCATTCTTTACCTTTTGGGAACCAGTCGAATAGATTCCCTCAATGAGAATGTTTGGCTTAGTTGGAAGAAACCAACACGTTTGGGCTGTAGGAAAGCGTTTTCTGACATTTCATAAACTAATGAATTAACTAGTGCAAAGAAATGCTGACCTAATAATAGCCTTTTAGTTTCTCTGCAAACCTCCAGATCCGTCCACATGTATTTTTTTTTTTTTTCTTTTTCTTATGCTTGTTAGGAAATGTTCTAACCCAAGTTAAGCTATTTATTTTCACTGACCCGCAGTGTTCTATCTCTGAAATATACTGGACCGAGTCGACCACTTGCTCACATCTTGCCGAGGGTATTGACCCAGTGATGCAAATGAATATTGCTAAAAAAATACCCCCGCACCCAGTTGTAAGCCCAGTTCAAAACACTGGGACACATTCCATCCTACCATGAGGGTTCCAACATGAGGCCTGCTGTCAGCCTATTGTCCGTGTGGGAGTCAATGATAATCCCTGCCTCAACCAGACCGAAAACATGCATCAATCCTCTACCAGAATACCTTAAAAGAAGATTGTAACATTTAAAACTAATGCAAAAATCTTCCTTCCACCGACTAACACTGATTTTCGGGCAAATAACATCAAAGCTCCCAGACCCCAACTAACCCTTATCACTCCTTCATGAGCATCAAAGACACGTGGGGGAGGAATAATATACGCGAAATGGGCAGCTGCAGTTTATTGTTCTTTCCCTTTAAACTCTTCTACAAACGGCCTATGGACGCAGGGGAAGTAAACGCCAGTATGGCAAAGTAGGTTAAAGTTCAACCCGGGAAGAAGGGAAGGCGGCCGGCGAGGCGACGCAGTGGAGGGATCGCCACCATGCTTCTGGGAAGCGGCCGCGTCTCTCAGCGTAACGATCTCGAAACTTTTCCAGCTAAAAAGTACATAGTGATGTTTGTCTGCACACGAGGCGGGCTGGCGGAGGGACGTGCGCCTGCAGACTAGGCGGGGGCAGGGTTTTTTACAGGGGTTAGGGGGTCACAAGCCTCCTTGGTTCCTTTTGACCAGCGAATGGATGAGCGAGATCTGGGTTACTAAAAAAAAGACCTTCCGAGGTGCAGTCTGCAAACATGTGCAGGGAAGAGGTTTTGTTTTCCCGATGGACACAAGAGGGGGGGGGGGGGGGAGAAATAGAACTTTTTTGAAATACCTACAAACCCGCTTGTGAGGAGATTTTTCTTTTTCTTGGGGAAAATCTCCGCATCGTGGGCATCGCCGGCGTTCTCCCCACCCCCACAAAGGGTAAAACAACACGAAAAGATGCTCACAATTTCATGCATGATAGTACTTTTTTGTTGGCGCAAAAGACTGCTGCGGGGGCTACAACATCTGCGTGGTACGTACGTACGCACGGTACGTGCAGGCAATATTGGGAGGCTTCTGCAGGATGCGTAGCATGCAGTCACCCGATAGAATGCACCTAATAAAGGCGACGCAAAGGTAGGCTGCAAAGAGTTGTTGCTGCTTTTATTCCGACACACATCGGCGCGCGTGGATTTTAATAAGCAGTTCTTTTAAAATCATTTAAATTTATTTAGAATACCTTTTTTTTTTTTTATTAACTTTTTTTTAATCTATGTCTCCCCATTGAACTGCTGATTCGTTAAAAGAAACCCCTAATATTGTGCATTAATTTTAAAGTCTAACGCATGTTTAAATGATCCGTGTGTTTTTTGTTCTGCGGAAGTCCAAGGACTCGTTAAAGTTGCATAAAAAGTGGATTCCGCTGCTCTTTTGTTATGGCGTCGCCGCTGACACGTTGGGCTCATCCAGGTTCCATTTTATTTATCCGCAAAGTGTTACAGATCCATCCACCGCAGCTGTTGGTGTAGCAACGATGCGTTTTGAGATCATTATTTATTTGAGTTGACGCGCTCATCACCGCATTACAAATCCGCTCTTGGCGCCACTTTATCAAAGCCGCACACAGTCGCGGACCGCATGTGTGAAGCCCTCGGATTGCTCTACATCCCGTAGTCTGCGCTGTAAGAAGTGTTTTGGTCTCTTGTAACTTTTTGTGCTCCTACTTGTGTAACCCTCCCCCCTCCACGTGTGTGCTTTTGCATGGACTGCTATGTTTAAGCAGCCTGTGAACTAGATGCATTTAAGTAAAACGTTTAAGTACTTAAACCCAAGTAAACAGCTTGATTATTTCCAGACTGGTTTATTTGTAACATCTATAGTCCTCGGTTGCAGACCATTAAACTAATTCAGTAGACAACCTGATGATGGCCGTCCTCTTTGCATTGATGGAGTGTTCATGTGCCGTCTCTGATCATTGCAAGGCAACAAATATTTTATTAGAAAATTGTTCTTTTCCGAAGGTTTTTATTGGGCTTTTCAAGGTTTGTATTACTTTAATATCCGTGGAAGAAAAACATCCCTACTTGCCCATGTTTTAATATGGCTGCAGCTTGCAAAGAGTATTGAGTTGTAGGATTGGTTTAAATAATTGTCTAAATTACTAAATTGATTTTTTTATTTTTTTATTTTTTTGGTTCTGTTTTTCAGATTTGGAGTGGAAGCGTCTTGCCCGCAGGAGTTTGCAGTAATCCAGTATGTGAATCCCCCCCAAACTCATGGTCTTCCAGCTAAGGTGCATCTAGTGTAGTCAGTGAAGTAGCTCAGTATCTACTGCCCTAGTTGCTCCTTCTGGCTGGAGGGCTCGTTCTTTCTCTGGATCGCAGATATTCTCCACTACATTTCTCCAAAACAAATGTATCTCTATGGAAATGCCTTCAACGTTTTAATTATACGTGCTAACGTGCTGAGAACCTCCACTGATCAGACTGACAGAAGCACAAAGCAGATTTCGCTTCAAAACCTCAAAGAATGAGATAAAATGTGTTACCATTACATTTAATATATTTCTTAAAGCCCAGCAAAAGGATCCCTGGACGTGCCGTCGACTTTGCTGTTCCAAAGTGCTCACAGTGCAGGTAGGGCACACGGATCTACTGCAGTTTGTGCACTTCAGGTATTGCCGGTCACCTTCCCTCAAGCCCGCTTTGGCATGATTTTGCGCTGGCAGGTGGAACTTGTGTGGGTTTACAGGGAGTTTTGTTGGTTTGCTTTCAGCCTCTGCCAGTCTCTGCTGTGCAAATCCATGCAAAGCTCTTTGTTTCTCAGACGCACAGCCAAGAGAAGAGATGTTTAAGCTTCGGTGAACCCTTGAAAGACTGAATTATATTCCCTGCAGGTACAAGAGCAACTTCTCCCTTGTTGCAATAATGTTGGATATTTTAGTGTGTGTGTGTGTGTGTGTGTGTGTCATTAGTTTGTCTACTATCTACAATTTGAATACTTGATAAAAGCGAATGAAATTGCAGTATTCATCTGCAAGCTGCCGGATGTTGTGAACAGCTACTTGTGTGTTCATTTGTGTATGGAGCATTGACTGTGAGTGGGATGAATGTGCTTTCCTCTGGCTGAGTATGAGCACTGTTCCCTCTGCATGAGGACGAGCGCTACGTTTTGGGCTCCCGGTCAGACTGAACACTAGGTGGCAGCACTTTATCGACCCTTACAGGAGCGGAGTGGAGGTGATGTTCACTCAGCATGAGAAGGTGATCGAACAAGCGATATGAAATGCAATTGGGTAATTTGATTGAATTCGATTCGTGTGATTATGTTAAGAGGATGTGCACCTTTTCTCCATGTGGCTGAACAATAAAAGCTTTTTCAGATTATATCCGATGCTCTGTCATAGAATGATCCTATGCATCCAAGACAAACACACAGGTCCTGAGTCGCATTGCCCCCCTCCCCCCCCCCCCCCCCCCTCCACCCTCCAATAGTCCTGCAGCCAATGTATCAGATCGCATCACTACTATACGCGTCAGGGAAAACTCAATACACGCAGGTCCACGTTGTGACGCGCGCTTTTTTTAGGGGGAGGGTTGGAGGAGCGAGCACATGTATCCGGGAGTCGTCGACCTGTGCAGCAAGCCGGGAGTCAGAGCCGCAAGTGAAGAGGGACTCAAGTTATCCGCATCTGAGTGGAGCATACGGACCGTTTGAGGGGGCGGTGGAAGGAGAGCACGAGGATGCTGAGCCGCAGCCTCACCAGCCAACCAGAGCTACTCCGGTAACTTTAGCGCGCCTGTGAAGTTTAATCTCCATCCTTCCCGGTTCCCCGCGACGCGCCGCTCTTTCACGATGGTCTGTTCATCGGTCCGCGGCACGCTCCTGCTGTGCGTCTCCCTCCAGCTCTTCTCCCTGCCCGGCGGACAAGTGCCGACGTGCCAGGAGGTGCGCACTGTGTTCCAGTCCCTGCATCCGGGCTCCAAGTGGGTCCCCGAAACCCCGGTCTCAGGTAACCGTCCTCCCCTCAAGGCTTGTGCGTGTTGTGGCGTCGCGGGTTTTACGCGCGGCGTGCGCATATGTTAGTGCATTCTCTGGTTGCTGGGACTTCCGTAGGTTAAACATGTATTTTTTTTCCCCGCTGCGATTTCTATTTCTATTCAGTTTTGGAGAAAGTCTCCTCTGCGCAGGTCTAGTCTAACTTCCACACAGACTCGCTCAACATTCATCAACCTGCTCCGAAAAAAAATCTATGGGCTATTTACAAATTGTGTTAAAAATCCAGTTTGAATTCGCATGCTTACGGAATCGATTGGGTTCCCTATCGAACCAAACGTTTAGTCACGTAAACTCATTTAGTCGGTGCATCAGAACATTGGAAGCAGTTGGTTTTACGGGGATTTCCACCTGCTGCCGAGTTTGTTTTAAGTGAGAAGGATAATGAGGTCCTCAACATGACAACAGCACATGCATGTTCAAACTGCCCCTTTTATTCCGCATCATCGCAGCGGTGTGATATCACTCCATGCATATGTGATGGAAGTGGTTCTCCAGAGGTAATTACTGCTCCCCGGAGCTCAAATGTCAGCGAGTCTGCCCCGCAGGGATGTGTCCTGATTTTTGAGACGTGAGGAAAGAAAACCCGCTGCGCTGAAAGGCGGAATTAATCCGGTGTTGCAGGTAAATCCCACAACCAACTTCCACGTGTTAACTGGGTTGCTGCAGGGTTAACGCAGTTTTCTCTCCACGCATCTCGCACACCTCACCCGATTTTCCAAGAGGCTTGGCCGAATAGTTCCATATGTGCGCTGCAAACAGTGTGATGAATCGCAGTTTTAAATCAAACGTGCGACGCGCGTTTTATCACTCAATCCGTCCCGTCTTCACCGCCCGTCGGCGGGTGCACGAGGCTCCAGCCACTGGGCCTGTGCATACATCTTTAATCACGCACCCTCCACCGCGGCCTTCGTGCAGAAAACCTAAAGTCCTCGTGGCAGGTCGAAATAAATATTACCCCCCGTCTCCAAACACACACACACACACACACCATCGGAGGGAGAGAAGCCCAGCTGTGCACGTTCACTGAAGGGTCAGTCTGAGCCGGACAGCCTGCACACCAGGCAGCTCAAAACCATTACTCACTCCGGAAATCAATCCGGCAGTCAGCCGAGGGACAATTCATCCTCGCCGGTTAAAAGCTACTTTGGTTTACACATTCCCAAGATGCCCGCGGCTCCTCTGCTGCAGCGTGATTGCTGGTTTTATGAAGTGGGCATATAGTGCCACGGTGCTTTATCAAGTGGCCAATGGCAACGCAACAAATCAGAGCTGTAGATTTAGATTGATGTAGAACACTGATTCGAAAAGCCTTTGGCCCCATTTCTTCTGTTTGAGATCCTGAAGGCAGCTCAGCAAACATCTCTTAAATGTTTGTTCCACTGTCTCAATGACATCTGTTTTTTCCTCGGTTACAAACGTGATTCCAGATGGATGACATCTTAAATCCCCGGAATAAAAATGATGCATTACTGCTGTTTTGGGTGTCAACGTTCCCCTAAATAAGTGCATTTTTAAAATTCTTCATTGAAGTGTAGGATATAAGGGAATTGGGTTCTGATTGAGCATTAGGGAAGTAAAACCAAATAAATCTGTGTTCACGGATAGCATATCACATGATATAATAAATGTTTTATGAGTTTCTCTGCATTTTACCATCTTCATCAAATGAGTTTGACGAAGAGCGCCATACCCTTATCATACTTTCTGGATTTGGTTGAAAGGGAACAAATAATTGTCTGATTTAGCTGCTATTGTTTGTACACACCGCCGTGCAACAATGAGGAAGGACAAGACATCGGTTAAGACAACTTTGTCTTCATGTTAGAGAAAAGTAACATTGTAGCACTTAAATTGTACTTATAACGGCACTTATCTATAGCAAATTGTAAATTGGCTTATTATTCTATTATTGTTATTATTTGATAAAATTGCACTTTCTTGTTTCTTGCTCTTCTGAGTTTGTATTGAATGCACTTTATTGTAAGTTGCTTGTAAGTCACTTTGGATAAACGCGTTGTTGGCTATAAGCGGAACAAGACACAAAGTGCAATTTCATTCAATAAGCCGATTTACAAATTGTTAAGAAGAGCCATTATAAGTTCAGTAAAATACTTTGTCCCATTGAGACACAACGTTCTGTAGTAACCTGCTTCTTTTTTTCATTTCCAATGTGTTGACATAATGCAGTCAGCAGTTCCTTTAGTCTTTGTGCAGACCTGCTAAACCCCCACAGCCCCAGAGGGATCTCAGGACCCCCGTTAGGAGCTGCTGCAGTAAAATGTAATGTGAGTTCAGTACTTAATGTCCAAACAAAGTGCTTTTACTGAGGCAGAAATATGTTGCAACACATTCACTTGTAAATCAATGTTATGGTGTTCAAGGTTTAAAGAACACATATCCCCACATCACACGTTGAGCCCGTCAGAGGACGAATTGTGGCCCCTTTTATCTCCCCGTAAAGCCCAGAATCTCTGTGTGCCTGCAGACCCGTGTGCGTAAATCTCTTCCATAACTCCATACGTTCATTCTTCATTAACTGTGGATGAACGAGTGAATGCCTCTCAACGAGGGTCGGGCGTTCTGGGAGCTCGCACGCCGCCCACGATGGCTCGAGGTATTACGCTCAAACGTAAAGAATCAGTCAAACCTGAATCTGCCACCTGACATGCAACACTTTGCTCTCTGAAAAATCTTCTCCAAGCTTTCTCTGAACTATATAGTATAGTACGTGTACCCTTGAGGTACGTATTTTTGGGGCCTTTTGTAAAATATTTGAGTTGGGTAGAATAGTGGCATAGTTCACTAATTCGTAACGTAGTATTGACATATTGTTTTCCAGTGGGAATACAGAAATATTTTTATTACCAAACATTACATCATGGATGACTGATTCATTGCCTTTCACTCATTCTTGGTCACAATATTGTTTGTGGAGGATTTCTGTGCAGATTCACATGCAAGAAGCTGCTGCAAGATATTTCTTAATCCTGAAAAACCTGTTGTGTCACATTCCATTCCTCAATAGATAATATCCAAGTTCTTCACCAGACAAATGTGCACTGTTTAAAAAAAAAAACACTGGAAAAGGTTTTTTTTTTTTTTCATTTATTAGATCCTGCGATGACTTTGAACTGTCTTTCAGCAGTCTGTACAATATTTAAGTGATGCATGAAAATTTAAAAATGTAATTTCCTGAACGAGACAGTCATGCAGCCACCTTGTTCTTTTCGTAGGATTTTCATAACTCGCAGCTCTTCCCCCTTTGCCGTAATGAGCTTTTGTTTTACATTTTCACAAAATCATGAAATATGCAGCCACTTCTGACATACTTTACAATTTGGGTTCCCCTTTTGATTAATCCATAATACATCCTTGCCATTAATGGATACAGAACAACTTTTACGGTTGTCATCAAGATCTGCTGAGTTTTGACCTGCAAAGTATTTCACGAGAAAGTGAAACAGGACTTTTAACACGATTTGAGTCCTGCAACTAACAAGAACATTGAATGTTCAGAATGGCTTGCCGGGATGTGACTGGTGGAAGTATCACACTCTATCTCTCCATCTGTGTGTGTGTGTGTGTGTGTGTGATGATGGTAAGCTATGAAGTAGCCTGCATCGCTGTGCTGTATGGTGTGGGGGAGGTGTCTGATTCAGAGAGAAGTCCGCAGGAAGGCAGAGCAGAATTCTAATAACACTGCATGCGGTGCCAGGGGGCAGAACACCGAAATACAGAAGTTTATCTCTTTGCCAACATGATTCAAAAAGAAAGCGAGAGCAGGAAAGAAAAAAAAAAAAAAGCAACAGCCCAACATGATACGATGGAGATGTGCAACACCGAGTTGTGCTGGAGGAGCATCACTCATGTCTTTGTTGTTGCTGTGGGTGGTTGGAGCGTTGGTAGGAGAAATGGAGGCTGGGTGTCGGTTCACTCGGCGCCGGGTAGTCGTGTACGTGCGAGAGCACTTACCCGGGGACGTGAGTGTGAGAGCGGCTCCGTCGGCGTGGAGGACGTGGCGGATCTCTGACAGCAGCAGCTGACCTGATTCACGGAGGAGCATCACAGTCTCACTAAATGGAAGAATAGTACCAGTTCGCTGGAGGCCGAGCTGACAGCTGGCACTTATTTGTAAATTTATTTTAGATATGTATTTTTTGGAGAGTGCGCGTGTCATTGTAGTGGCGGTGATGGGACATTAGGGAAAAGGGAGAGTGTGGCCTAAAGGTTCAAGAGGTTTGTAACTGTATCACGGTTCACCGGAGCATATCGTGTATGTTCAGTGTGTGCAGTATTCAAAAAATAAATAACTACGGTAAGTGAGGGAGAGTAAAAGGCCCCGGCAGCAGTCAGGCTGCAGTTACACTACATGTTCATTTATAAATCAGGGGACATTTGTTTGGCATATTTTTCACTTGGATGTTAATTTAAAATGTCATTTTTAATTGAATCGATTATAATTGTATTTTAAATGGTGATGCTGATATCATTCCCTCGCTACATTGTTGCTATACAATAAAATAAACAAAGAAATAGTATTAATAATGATGTAAGCGTCATCCAGAGGAAGGAATAAACATGGCGATATTAATAAGAAAAGAGTTGAAATGTAGCTGCTGCTGTGAGTCTTTTAGCTCCATAGAGTTGAGGACAAAGAGAGCGATGGAAGATGATCCCAAATATATTGTTTGTCGTAATGCACTTATTGTACGTCGCTTTGGATAAAAGCGTCAGCTAAATGACATGTAATGTAATGTATTGTGCGCTCTTGTGTGTGGACGCTCTGCTACCGAGGCGATCCAGCTGCCTCGTATTTGACAACATCTGTTTTTTCCTCTTTTTTTTTTTGTACCCTCCTCTACTTTCATGGTGTTTGATATTGCCGAGCAGGATACCAACGACAGGTCCTAGACCTCTTTCTTAATTAGCTGCGGGGTCTGAAAAAACAACAACAAAAGAACAAACGCTCCTGCTGTTGTCAATAGGTGGATAAGTTTGAGAGACCGGGCTCTTTCACAGTCACACTTTCAAATTGTTGCTTCATCAAACACTTTCAACATGGAGTCAACAAAGCCATAAAATACTTTAGTCCCTGGTAGTTAATGACATTATCGTTCCTTAGGAAGATTGTAATAGAGATTGTATAAGAAATATACATTTCATTTGATGTCTCTACAAAAGGACACTGGCTCATTTTGCCCCGGAGAGGAGTCCCACATGCTTCCATGCAACACTGCTAACTGATGCATAATTTATGCCTGTAATGAACAGCTTTTACCATATTCTATATTTTAATACCACTTGTTTTTCCCCCATGGTCTTAGTTATTAAACTTGCATAGTGTAGCTTTCTAATTGGTGCCGGGAAGCCCAGAGACACACAGTGTATTTGTGGCTGCCCTCTAGTTCCCTTGTCTTGGAGTCCCACCGCTTGTTAAAGATGTGAAAGGACCCCTCTCTGCGTGCACACAGGACTCTGGCAGCCCCCACTGGAGTTTAAAATATATATTTGGCATTTGAAGAGAAACTTTTATTTTAGGAGCCAAGCAGCAATAAAGGATTAAAAAAAACAAAAACACTGTCACAAAACGGAGGGAGATCAATACGTTTTCAAAAAGCCATTAAGGCCTCGACACTCATGAAAACCACAGCTGCTCTGCATGTTGAACGGCCCGGCCCACCCGCTTCCCGGTATTGATTGAAAGTAATCATTTAAAGGCTTCACCTTGGAGCCAGATTGCTGCTGGCCTTGCACCTTGTCGGTCTTAGTTTTCTCTGAAAAGATATCAGGACACCAGAAGAAGAACCGTAATTAGCCAACAACGGGGCTGATGGAACAGAGGCTGATGGTGCCCAGTAGCTATTAAGCTCAAGGTAGGTGAAGGGAAAAGTGCTAGGAACAAAACTGTGTAGGGATGACAGGGAATATAATATATATATATATATATATATATCAAATAAGGAGGGGAGAGATAAGGGGGAGGCTGGGATGAGAGAGCTCAGCCTAAAGCAAGCAGGAAGTAGGTCCCCAAGTGACCTGTCAGTCAGAGAGAAAGCTTTATTTAGACGGTGTGATTTTTATTATTTGTGAAGCTCCACAGGGAATATTTTTCCTGTCGAATCCTTCACTTACTCCTCGGCGCAATATAATGAAACACATTCATCATCTACAAAAAAAGAAAAGAAAGAATCAGCAACGATAATTGTGCAAATGCGACTGTCTGTTTTGCGGGAGATAATTGCTAAATCGCCCGTCTCCTCCCCCGTACCGCGCGCGCTCTTCCCACCTACGGTGCTATTGACAGCTTAATAATTTAGGCCCTAGCAGTCTGAAATTAGCTTGATCTTATCTGTCAGGAGTCCTTTGTTGGTATTGATTTAAGATATTAAGCCTGTCAGTACGCATACAAAAGGTGCCATGTGACAGTTTTATTGCCTGTTTCACTCATTACACACTCCATCTTAAAGCAGTTTGCCGCTCGATTTCCCAGCACTTGTTAATTATGAAGACCGCCACACTGTTGCATCTCCTGCTAGTTTTACTTCCCTCCATGCCGGCTGCTCTTTGTTGCAGTCTGGCTTTTGTTTCTGAGGATCTATTGTTTGAAGAGAGGCAACTCCTCAAATAGATTCACATTTCATATTATGATAAACCCTCCATCTCGAAAAAAAGCCTTCGTCTGTCTTTTGACACACTTGTTATCAAGATTTTCTGATATGTATATATATTCACAATCCGGGCCCTCCCTCCACATTAATCCCGGAGCCTTTGGCTTCTTATCCCCTGCATCCCAACCAGTGGCTGGCAGACTCCCCTGACATTTGTTTACCACTCCATCCATCAGGCCCTTGTCACTGACGCCTCTGAGGCAGCAGCAGATCCCGCCGACAACTAGACGCAGGCTGGCACGTCACACGGGAGAGAGGCAGAGCGCTCTTCTGTGTTTAAACTTCAGATGGTTGTGGCCTATTTATGTCTGTCTGATGTCTGTGTGTGTATCGTTTTAGAGGAGCGATTTGGGAAAAGGCAGTGAAATCTATAGCTCGTATATGGAAAGCGTGTATTCCACTACCTTTCTCTTTCCATCGCGTGTTCGTAGCTCAAACTTCTAGGATACATGTTGTACAGCATTGCCGAGACATCGCCACTGCAGAGGCATTTTCTCGCAATGAAGAAGGGTTCTTTTGTAACGGATGTGCCTTTTGGCACCAAACTGCAGTTCACTTGTCATGGCTGTCTCAGCAGCTGAGGCACCCTGGCCATCTTCCATCAGGTACCTACCAACCGCGTGGTCTTTATCGCCTTTGGCACTAAGATTTAGTTGTTTTTTTTCCAATTGAAAAGAATTGCTCTTAATCCTGTAGGACGTCACTTCCGTTTTGCCGTAACATGGTTCCTCACCTTTTCAAAAATTCTGACTACGCCTCATTTGCGTAAACGACCTGTAACGTCAGAAGCGTTGTGTGATCACTTCAATGTCACTATGTTGTGTATATATGTCGTAGTGGAACTGGGTTTTGCCTGCGTGAACTGCTCCGTCCTCTTATTTTTGTGACTGGGAAAAAAGTAATTCTATTTGCCTCGGTGTGAAAAACATTCTGTTGACCAAATTTATCTGAAGGACAACAACGCAGCTCTGGAGTATTGCTTGAATGAGCAATCAAAATACGTCTTTTATTTCTCTGCTACTATTTATTTTTGACTGCGGCCCCGCTAAATATAACAGCCTCCACATAATGATCGCATCTCATTAAGGCAGCAGAATCTGCTGTAGGGTTTCCTGTGTTTAGCATGCAGAGTATGCAGCTGATTCTTTTTTTTATGCAAAGGAAGAGGGTCTTCTGTTTTTTGTTTTTAAGAAAATTGAACAAAAGTGGTTATGCAGCTCATTTGCTCATCCAGCCTTCTGTCTTGTTCTCTGCCAGGTGCAGATCTGCAGGTATGCCAAACCAAAGGCCCGACCTGCTGTTCAAAGAAAATGGAGGAGCGGTACCAGGTAGCCGCGCGCAGCAACTTGGAGTCTGGTCTGCAGGTTGTCAGTGCTCAACTCAAGCGTCTCATCATCCAGAACGCCGCCATTTTCCAAGGTAAGCAGTGAGCACAGTTGGTCTCAACTGGCACAGAAAATCCTCACCACCACAATTGCATTTTTTTTTTCAAGTCCGATAACTGACGGCCATAAATCGGCGCGGGAAGTACCCAGTTCCTTGGTTATACGTCCCCGCATAAGGGGTAATGCACGCAGACAGGGAAGAGCTGCTCAGCTGCTGTTCCACTAAACGTTGGACATGCAGTGAGACATGTGGTTAAAGTGACTTCAGATGTAGCCCCGTCGTCGGTGCCAGACATGTTGTTCCGTGGAGTGTCAGCCTCCGGAGATTCTGACGCACTGCAGTCAGTGGAGGCTGTTGTGTATTTACAGTGTGAAAAACGCCTGTCAGCAGCGGTGGGAACTGGGAATCACACTCAGAGGAGCAAGGTCAGAGGACTGGTGTGACTGGTTCTAGTGGATGTAAGAAAAGTAGGAATGGTCAAACCAGGAGACCCTGAAGTTGGACTGCTGTCAGCTCGAGGGGGAGGCAGGTGACTGCTGAAAGTGGGTGAGGGGACGGTGGAGTCAGCAGGAACTGCGGCACCCTATTAAATCAGTATCCCCCTGCTGAATGCTTTAAAGAACTCTGCTGCCTCCTCTCATTTCTCAAATTTACCATCTATGTTCTCAAGCGCTTAAGAAAACTGTCAATCAAGCAGCAACAAAGGCCTTTTAATAATGCCTTATAATGAATGGAATAGTTCCACTTTGAATGGAAGGTGGGAGCCGTTCACAGCCGTCACTAACCTTCATCGCCCGAACCGGGTTTCTGGTCGTGCATCGTGTTGGAAAAAAGAAAATGGAGGAACTCCGTGTTGCAAGCATCACTTTTAAACGTGACATCAGGAATTGTAAATCCTAGAGTAACAGACGGTGTCACTCATGCTTGATTCTTTCTATATACACTGATCTCACAGGACTACGGCAACAAGAAGGCAGGAGGACTATTATTTTGATTTATATGCTAGCTCCAGTAGCAACAGGCAACACGTTAGCTGGCTGGTCATGACCTAGCCTGTTAGCCTTAGCTAGCTGGTACCAACACGGTTTGAATCGGCCCGCCTCAGCTACACCCAAACTTCAACTGTTTGCCCACTTTTGGATTAGGTGGAGGTAAGCTGTGTCGTCACTGCTAAGATAGCGATGGCCATTAGCCTTCTGCTACTCATCTACTCAATATAAATTGTGCTAATATTAATTTTTAATGTCATTCTCTATAACTTTCCAAACAACATTGGCTCACTTTAATCAAACTTCAGTTTCACGTGACGGCTTTCAACCTTAGCAACTGGTTTCAAGTAAACTTGCCGACAACAAAGGCGTACATAACATTTTCCTCAACAGTGCCACCATATGAGCAACAGATGGCATGAAATATATCCCTTTCACATTTAATGTTGAGCCTTTTCTTATCACGCCACACAGGCCCTTTCTATCCAGCGCTCTGTTTACTTTCTCTGGGTTTGCAGTTGAGGCGGGGTGCGATCGCGGGTTGGTAAAAGCAGCCCCATCCCGACATGCCAATTAAAACTTGAGGTTTAATGGGGACCAAGGGGTTTGCTTGACTTGGTTGTTACACACTAACTTTGTTAAAGGCTGCCGCTGCGGTTTGCCTGCACTTTCCTAGAAGGGGTTCAATGCTAATTGCTTTAGCATAGGGCTTGAGAGAACTCCCCAAACAGCCCCCGGACCAAAATCCTTTTAACATCCTGGTCTTATCTGTTTCCCTCTACTTCATTTTCACCCTTTCTTTTCTTCTCTCCGTCTGACGCTGTCATCCTCTCTCCCTTTCTCTGCCTCGCTCAATCTGCGTGACTTTTCGTTCTCTTTCTTTCTCCCTTCTGTCTTGTCTACTCTCCCTGTGTTCGTGCTGCTATTGGGAATTGAGTGCATGCCTTGTTTGCGATCTTTGCCGCCCTCCATCTCTTTTCTCCGTAGGCACGTTTCTGCCAGAGATCAAAGGTTTCCCCTTCTCCACTCGTCTATCTCCCATCTTTCTGAGTGCTCTCTCTATCCCCGCATCCCTCTCTCATCGCAGCTCCACCTGCCCTGCTCCGCTTTCCCAAGCCTCACACTCCACCAGAGTTTTTCGCTCTTTTGAAGTCAACTTCTCCAAACAATCGAAAAAGAAACGTCTCTCTCTCCCTATGTTCGTCTTCTACGTGGTGAGATGACGGGCTGCTTCACCTAAAGCTTCTTCTAGATCAAAAACCGGGAAATAGGTATGGCATCAGGAATTTCTGATGATGTGTGTGGATCTCGCACAGAATGCCTCATATACCATTTAGCAATCTAATGAGCGTGATCGGATCTCTTTATAGTAAACCAGGGAACCTCTAGGTAATGGATGAACTGCAGCATCCACTCCGATATGGAACAGACTGGGATTTCATTTTGATTCACATCAGCGAGATCATAACATCATCTTCCCCCGTGTGCTGTGCTTGCCTCGCGCTCGATGGCCTGATGCTGTCAATTTAGTTCAAAATGAGAATCTCTAAAGCTGTGCAGGACGGCTGTATTAAATCTAATCTTTTCAAATGAGAAGCAGATCTTGTGCATGGCAAGAATTTCATTTAGAATATAAACGATGGAGTCCAATATTTTCTGAGGAGTGTATCATTGCACATCACTAAGCAGCCGAGAGATGAGTGGATACATGACATTTCTTGCTGAGTTTTAGTCAGGGGGATAAGTGATGATTGTAGCGTACGAGTCTTAAAAGGGCACAATGTTGATTATCAACATCAGTTTGCTTCTCACAGCGAGTACCAACGGGAAGTTACTTGGAAAGGTTACGTAATGCAAAAGGTGCAAAGGTATTGTACTGATTACATGAGTAATAAAAAAGTTGAACATTGTCTTTCAACCAGCGTGTCGTCTTCACTTTGGAGGCACTAAATCCTGATGTTGAAATACAGCAAAAAAAGCACATTGCATAGGTTACTGTAAGCTTGCATCCTCCAGTAGCATACCGGCCTCCTGTGAATTACGTTTATATACTACATAATTGTTTGGGCACTATAGCTTTTCAGTAGTTTTTTCCAGAGAAACAATTATCACAATCATTGCCGCCCGCGACCCACCTCAACCAGACTGCTTTGAGTGCGTGAACATAACCTCATAACACATTAAGTGTTGTAATGCTGCGGATGCTTTGAGGAGAGATTTTATTGTAGGATTAAATATTGCAAATATATTTACTATCAATATTTTGAAAATCAGCTGACACCTTGTTAACAAACATTTCCTTTATCAATCTCAAAAAAAGGAGGTTACTTCATTTTTTGCTGCTTGAATGACTTGTTATTGTTCGAGCACTACAGTACTTTAAGATAGAGTTTCAGTCATCTTCCACTCTAATTTGAGACATAAAGAGACAAAGAAGCAAGGTGTAAAGAGTGTAAGGTGCTGTATGTGTGTAAACTGAACCAAGCTCTACTTCAAGGCTACAAGTACAAAAACCCGGAGCCCCTTTTCACACTGAGATTCCACATTTCTGCCGCTACGCCGTCTTTGCTTTTTCAAAACATTTAGGTGGGATTTCACATCACTCCGTTAGCTTCCTTTTTTTTGCCTCCTACTGGTCGGCGCGCGCTAATAACATGCCATCCAAACGGCGTGCGTAAGGGTCCCCTTTTCACGGCCTCGCAGACTGGACTCTTTATGAGTGACTCAGTGGTGGAACAACTCTGTCTCTACATTCTGCCTTGGTGACTTTCACACAGAACAAAAAGGCAAAAGAGTCCTGCCTCCAACACGCTGTGCGAAAGGGGTCTTTACACTTATGTTATACTTATGTTTGTGGTGTGATTACACAGTACAACTTGCATCATCCCCTCTCCCTCCCCCATCCCTCTGTTTCCTCTGCATGCGGCGAAACTCAGAAAGCAGAAACTCATCCAAAAACCTGCTTCTTGCATTGTGGGTGACTGGCAGGTCTAATTGTTGTTATTTCCCAGGCGATTATGTCCTTCAGAGCAGCGCTGCTACTGTTCATCCCCCAGCCTTCAGATCAAAAGTTAGTTTACCCTCTGTTAATGAGAGAAGCTTGTATTTGACTTCTCTCAAAACAACTCAAGGCCGCACAGGAGCCGCAGGCGAGATCTATTTAGTTTGTGCAGAATGGCACGTCAGAAAACGAGCCTCTCCTGACTGCCGTGCCGGTGGAGAGACCGTACCGCTGTCTGCTCGGTTTCAGCTCGATGCTCCTCTGCAGCCCGAGGGGAGTCACACTGGAGTCCAAAGAGCCAACCCGCTTAATAAACATGAGAGGACAGGGTTGGCCCCATTGCTTATGTAGTCAAACATGTGGCGAGGAAAGTTGAGCAGCGTGAGCGGGTGCAGATATCAGAGTCTGTGTGATATCCGCTGAAAAAAAAAAAAAGAAAAAGAAAAAGTGGGACAGCCGGCCCGGTGCTCCTGGAATGACTCAATGAGTCCATAAAAGGCTCATAGGCTCAGTGGGGTGTTTGAAAACAGGTCTGACTTGGACTACTTTCAGGCAGCATGAGGGCAATCTGTATGTGGCTTCACTCGTCCCTGCGAGGCGGGAGAGATTTCTCTCCTCTGCTCTGAACTCCCTTCGGCCACGCTCTGTAAATGAGCGGGAGTCTGAAGGAGCTTGAAAGGAGGCTCATATCTTTTTATCCGACAAAAACACAACGAGCAGCCCGCGCTCTCTCAGCTCGGACAAAAAAAATGTGCTTTTGTGTCCTTGAGTTCCTCATACCTGCTTCCTAGCTGGCCAACAAATTAGCATCTCATTAGCAGTCTCAAAAAATGACATCGACTTCCCCCTCGTCTTCTGGATGGGTTTTAATTACTCTAAGTGAATAAGGCATTACAATGTCAGCCCCCCCCCCCCCCCCCCCCCGTTGCCCCGGGGGGGGCAGTTGTTGACCTTGACAAAAGTTTGCCCTCATTTGTCCCCGATAGTGGTGAAAGGACGTTCCCCGTGGCAATAACCCCAACCAGATGTGGCAGCCAGCGGAT